ACAGTAATGACAAGCCTTTGTGTGTGCACGGTTCTATATCTATAAATGATATATGTTATAATGAGCGACAAGAAAATCAACCCGTAAGGTAAGGAAGATCATTTAGAGTTTGAAAACGGTGCAGCGTGCAAACCATCACAAGATAAATACGGGGGCAGACAAATTACTAGGAACATATAAGACACATCCCGCAGAGTAATGAATAACGATGCTAGTCACTGACCGTAAACAAGACGAATGCGCCCATCTTTGTTCTTCCTGGGGCTATCCAGATTGTTGAACTAATTACTGATTACCTTTAAATTGGCACGCGTCACCAATTTATAAGGAATGAGAAAACGATTTTCTTTCTTAGAAAAGTATTTACCATTCTGCCGAGGTCTGTATTAGTGATGACAAGATTCTGCATAGCAGTCAGCCTCGATGTGGTGCATATTCAGTGAGTACATCAACACCTGTCTGTTTTCAGTTTCTTTCATCCATGTACTCGCCCATGCAACACAAAAAATGTGTTTCACAATCAATAAGCCTCATTACCTTAAATATACTTGGTGTGAGAAAAGAAAAAAAAAAAACTTTTTTTTCCACTCATATTTTGATATTCATATCTCGTGGGCGGTACATAAATATAATCGATTTATTTTACATGATGGGCAAACTAATATTGAATATTATTGACAAAAATCTATCCATATGAGATATGTCGTATCAATGCGAGCTTGTTAATTAACAATGATGTGAGAGGCTGGCACTAGTGAGGTGTTCTAACACAAATGATCTAATTCCTTCTGAAACAAATCCAACTTGATGACAATCTTCGACGCTATCGATTGATTTATTCCTTTTAGTGATGAGTTTCTGATAAAGGATTTCCACCGAGAAATCAATAGTAACAGAAATGATATCCCTGTATGACGCAGGTACCATTTACTAATACTGAAAGTTCATGGTCTCCTTTGAATACCGTAACTAACGTAAATGTTGGACATTAATGTGGAATATCAAAGAAATGAAAGCCGTAAACGGTCGCTGTCTAAACTGTTTTTGACCATTGCTAATTGGGACGTAATTCTAACGCCATACATTATACTCGATTTGTGATGAGAAACTTTCTCAAGGTCAATTTCCTTAATCGTCGGTATAATTACAAAACGTACAACTGAGGACAAAGTGCTGATCGTATATCGGTCAAAGTATCCGACACGTTGCATCACGGAAACGTGTGCATCAATAGTGTACACAGTTTGCAATTAGATATTTAGTTGTCAGATTGATGTCGATTTCGAAAATTTATATTCAAATGAGTCATGCAAAAATAGCTCAGAAAGATTTTCAATCGGCTATATCCCTGACGTGTAACCTTTATAGCATTGGTGATAATCGATCAATTTGCCGACATGGTAACGTTAGATTCATTATTTGCCTATAACACTTTACATTTGTCAGACTTATTTTTTTCATACAGTAAAGCGTGGGTGGCAATAATAATATCCAATTGCGAATGACCAATTGGCCGATGGATGTATGATCAATCTGACTTACAAATGCAACTACTGGAATCATACATGTTCATGTAAGGAACATCTTTACTCACCCACCAACAGGGAACGTGAGATGGGTTTAGACCGTCGTGAAGTTTTTTGTTTTTACCCAGCTGCAAAACAAATCAACAGTGGTGGTTGTCCATGTAAAATTACGTAGATCAATCCTTTGTGTTTTTTGGGTTGCTAGTGGAGACATCTTCAGCATAGCTAATCTTTCACCATCTATCAGATACACCCCGACTCGAATAGGTCAAGATTTGTTGGAACGCATTTGCATACCCTACACAACACACTTTCCAAATGCCTATCTGTCTCGACAGAAGGCAGACTGCTATGTTATCACTTTGAATGTCTAAATGTATTCACCGAACATACTGTAATGAATACAATCATATTCATCAGAACAATCTAAGTGATGAACATTTATTCGCATCTGTTGTACAATATTTTTGTTTTGTTTTTTTTTCCTTCTTTACACAGAAGTGATCTCGAACTCACAACTTCAAGTGCAGTAAATTAATATATTCTATTCTATTCTATTCTATTCTATTCTATTCTATTCTATTCTATTCTATTCTATTCTATTCTATTCTATTCTATTCTATTCTATTCTATTCTATTAATGTGATGGGTTTGAATGTTCGTAATATGCCTGACATTTATATTAAGTTATAAATTGTTTTAATTTAAAATAATCAAATGTATGTTCTGTCATTAAATAGAGCGTTTTATACTTAATGATATATTACTAAGCTATAGTTATGTGCAATTATATATACTAGGTTGAACGGATTATCGTACATCTAGGAGTTCTTATTCTGACTGCACGCGTCTCTTGCAATTATCGATCTATTGTGTATAATTTACGCAACCTTTCAATCCAGCTGCAATCTAGAACAATGGCCGAAAGAAATACTTATAATATTTCCCCTTCTAAGATACGAATATTTTCGTCTCCTAGCAACAAGAACCCTAGTATAGCACACGTAATTTGTATTTTGTAATATAATGTCCGCTCAAAGGTTTATTTATTTTTGCATTCAAGTATTGTATAATGAAACAAAAATGCTACCACAGCAGGATATATTCTGCAGTTCAAGGTTAAACTTTTTGTTATTGCTAGGAATAAACACCAAACAACTCAAACCGGGCTCACTCTGGCATATTATGCATGCATAATGTTCGGTACTTGTGTACTTTGACAGACAATTAGTTCATGCCTTACAACATTACAGATTCGATATAATCATAAAAAAGTGTCTTCCAGTTAATGGTGATCTCGTGAATGACTGACTCGCGGGCCCCGTCGAGATAAAACACAAACTGCCGTAGATGAATCTGTGAACTATGACACCACACTCCCAATGCTTGGTGTACACAAAAAAGCGTATATGCTTTTACTATTATGCCTAAAAAACAGATATTAATTTATTGGTAAAATCACCCGTTTCGTAAATAATAACATAATTGTATTGAATAGCAGTAGATAGTTCAATCGCATTCATGCGAGGATTCTCACACAATATTATTCCCATTCCATCTCTTTAAGTGCCTTGCCATGAATTCATTGGTGAAAGATTTGCACTGCTACAAAGGTACTAACATAATAATATACGTGATGTTATACATGTACATATTTTCATACACAGGTCTATAACATAACGCTGGAAAACTAGTTGTTGCCGTCAACCTTTTGGAATTAGGGTGCAGACATGTCAAACAATTCTCAGACATGTTATTTCAGTCTTATGTATGCAAATAATTCGACAACTCGTCTATTACAAATATAACCTGGCCAATTGTACATTATCTCGTAGGCAAGGTGCGCAATGCCGTTATATTATTTTGCGTGTACTGCGCAATCACGTGTGTTCCCGAGGTTTGTCCCCAAACCAGCACTGTCACGTAAAAACGACAGTGGCGATGAAACATTCATTCGATAGCAATGTTGGAACTTATTGACATACCAAATCAGACACAACTCGATTATAAATTGGATCTAACCAACACAATTTAATTCCAATCGCAGTAACTCATCTGAAATGTTACAGATCCAGGGAATATGTGACATAATTTAGTCTGTGATAAATCAACAATGAAACTGACAAGATATGGTACAACGCAGTGTATATGATGCATATTTGCTATGGCAATAAAACATAAAACTGATTGTGTAATCTGAGGCGAAAGCTGACTTCGCCTCTTATAAATTCTTTCTATCTAGTATGTTGACAATTTACAGTCGACAACACGAATATATATCTATAAGGGCCATATCACAGAAATATAACACAATCAATATAAATAAGAGTACTCAGATATACATGGCACAATATTATACATTTATAAGTTCAAAATTACAGTACCGTGAGCATAAAGTCCATGTATTTCACACATAATGTAAATAAGTGCACATGAAAGGAAACTCCAGTTCACTCTTGTAATTCACGGCAAATCCTAAAAGTGTCCAGGTGATTTGCAATCAGACAAGGCTGAATATATGGGCTTCCAAACATGATGGAAGTGTTAAAATAAGTGTATTTACAGAAACATTTAGAACACTGACAACTAACTGTTCACGTCTTTTTTACTGAACTAGTCCGCTTGTTTATGGGTTATGTACCCTTTGACATCAAGCTGTGAGATTATACATAAGACGGTTGAATCAATCTAAGGGGTGCTCGATAGTCGTCAGAGAAGCTCAAGTCGAGGCCGTTACGATCGGTTACTGGACTAAAATGTATAGAGTATGATAGCAATTAGTACAGAATCGGGCGCGCCCAGAGACATTTGGTATTACGTTATGACACATTCAATTGTAAATAACGATATTACAATACGTGTACGTCTCACAACATCGTTATATACAAGTTTAGTAACGCGTAATGGGAGTGTACGATATTTATTGAGCTTCCGTGACAACTTGAGACCATCCTTAGCTCAACTGTTCATGGATTCTATCAAACAGATGAATACTGTAAAAATGATTTTAATACTTCAAAATAAGTGAAAGAATGTCTGTTTTAAATCCCAAATGCTAGGTTTTACACTCCGTCGAATGAGCAATTACCGGGTCGCTAAAACATGAAAGTAATTAATTTTGGTCGAAAACACCATATTTACATTGCTCACTCTATAATATCGAAACACAGCCAGTAATGTGGGGTCTGTTTCAATTGTTCGTGGACATTGTCTATAATATTAGGGTCAAATGTAACGTTAGTCTGATGACCATGCACATTTGACACTATGCCTTTAAGTATAATATAATATAACATGTATATTTACATATTGATACATTTATATCTGTTTACAAAGTCATTCTTACAGCACCGTCATGGTATGCCACTCCACTGGTACGAATCACAACATTTCTAAAGCATCTTCAGATTTCTTGAACGTAGAAATTGTTTTTCGATACCATGTTCTGAAACAATTCGATAACCAGTATGTTGTCTATAATTGAACAGGCTCTGGGTCTCCGTCGCTTTTTCCTAGTTTTCCATTGGTGGGGGAGTCACTCAACATTATAGCATGAGTCTGACAATTTTTCATATTCATCGAGTTTGTCACATCCGTCTCCTGACTGCGGAGATGTTTCCTTTTATTTGAAGGTTTCCGAAAATGGCTGACGCTCATTTCAATTTGGAGGTCTGTAGCGCATGCAAACGCCTTCTGGAAGCTCTTTTTAAAATTGTCACTTAGAAAAGCGTAGAGAATAGGATTGGCGCTACTGTTGGCATAGCCCAACGACTGGGCAAAGTAGTACGCGATTCTCCATTTGTAAAACGCAGCCTTCGAATGCATAACAGCATAGTGCATTGCCACATTGAGGATGTAATAAGGTGACCAACAAATAAAAAACACACCTACCACAACAGTGACCAATTTGGTTACCTTGCGTGTCTTTTTCCCTTTCGAACCAGGCGCTCCGACTTGCCGCAGGCGATTCAACATTAAAATGTAGGCGGTGCATATAATCAGCAGTGGGATGATATATCCCATCATGAACGTGAAATAAGAAAACACCAACCCCCAGTCCTCCTGATCAAGAGTGGAGTTGCCGAATAGAAAAATCCAATTCGGGCCACAGCCATAGCTTCCCATTCTCTCATCGTAATCAGATCGAACGGCTGCTGTAAACCATGAGACGAGTATCAAGACCAAAGCCCACACACATCCACTGACCGCGTTAGCAATTCGTGGGGTACGTATATTCACAGACTTCACTGGGTGTACGACAGCAATATACCGGTCTATGCTCATGACTGTTAGAAAATATATACTTGCAAACTGGTTAATTATATCATTTGTCAACAATATTTTACACCATGCCGTCCCGTACGGCCATGTTTCCATCACAAAGTGAGAGATGCTGAACGGAATTCCCAGCAAGTACAGCTCGTCGGCTATGGCCAAGTTTAAAATATATGTATTAGTCACAGTTTTCATTTTTGAAAATCGAAGTATTACGTAGATAACCAGGGAGTTACCAATAAGGCCAACCACACACGCGATGGCCCAGAGTATGGATAATATGATTTTATCTGCCTTAACACTAGTGTCTCTGTTATCCGTTGAATTCACCATTAAAGTAAAGATATCATAAACAGTGTCGTTGCCATAGGATTCCATGGTTGTACGTGAGCGGTTGATTGCTTGGCTGAATGCTTAGTGGAATACAATTCTAAAGTCCCGTCCTCTTAAAAACTGACGATGTATTGCGGTGTGATAGTAACGTGATATGGCTATGTTAGTCTCTTCGTTCAACGTCGATGTGCACACTCAATGGCAGATCATTTTAGCGCTGTTGAAACATGTGCTCACAACTGCGTTTGACATGATTCGATATTGGAAGAGCAGCCTGTTGTGGTGCTGTTCAAACCGCTCGGCGAGTGATAATGCTGCTCGACGTTCCGTGCTCACACAGCTTCGCTAGGTTAGGTGGACGGCAGCGGATTATGTAAATTGGTTCCTCCTCTTCACCCAACATACGTCAGTCATAAATGGACGTTTCCAATTGGCCAGCGCCAAAATCCCCCCTAGCAGACTCAATTTCATCCAATCCCTGCAAAATTATCAAATACTGTTTAAGCCTGCAGACAAGAACAGCGCCCACATGAGGACATATCTAAACATACAACCGGAGGTATAGGTATATAAAATATTGAAAAAGAGCTTTCGTGAGTCCTGCTGCGTAACCACGCTTAATATGCGTGACCATTCGTCAGTATGATAAATAGCGATTTATTTAATGACGGGGAATTATGTAACGCGGTCTTAATTATAATAATTCTGCCAAATATAATTTGACGGGTGCGCTTCAATATATGGAATCATTCTGTGCTAAAATAAGACTAATAACACATGTAATAATAGACATTAATTATAATCATCTATAATCAGCATAATGCTTGCTTGTTCGTTTGGCGAATGGGTATGTGATGAGTATAATCGCATATTGCAATTAACCTAGCTATTATGAATATTCAAATTGCATATTGTATAAGCACCTACACCCCGGCGATTGTGCGTAGATGCGTGTTGTATAGCCGTATACTGACGTATCGCTCTCCAATAACGCGAGACAATATGTCAACAGAATGCTGGTATTGCAAAACGTGTTTTTGTACCAAGGAGTTAGACTGTGTGAAATCTTGGTCTTGGGATAAAACATTCACACTGACGATAAGGATCTCACTATATAGGGGAGGGGTGAAATAATCCCAAATTGTGCATAATTTTATGATACTCGGTGAACAACCATCTAAACACCTACATTAATAAATTACTATCGACATTTGTCATGCAGTTATATAACTACGCCATTCATCGCTTGGTCGAATTCGTTTTGCCTTAGCAAAACTCACGAATCTTCACCGCTTTGTCGCTTGTCAGAAAGCAATCGTTCATTCGGAACAAAAAATGAGGCCCCCTATTTTGCTGTTTCCTGAATCGGGTAGAACGATCAAATAAATAAACGTGGCAGAAAATGAGTTTCCGCAGCGACTGTCTGATAAACGAGCACGGCAATTACCCACAATATCAGTGAAATGGGTGACGTAATGTTTAATTAGTTTAATGTTAAATGTCAGATTATAAATAGTAAACAGCGTTTAGAATTTTAGGTTGTTTTTAGTAGTGTAGTGCAAGGTCACAACATGAAGCAACAAGGTCTTATGACGTGTTAGTGGGATTGCACAAAGATGTCCTGCAGCTTAGCAGCATGTAATCGACAAGGTCAAAATTAGGGGCGCATCTGGCCAATATTTTTCATTAGGTACAATTATTCTGGAACTAACAACACTAACATTCTCAAAGAGCAGTGCTACCTATTCGGTACTGTACATATGTTTTATACTCGACGAGACCGAAGATATACGTCAATATTAAACACTAAATGTCAATGTTCAAATGGGGTAAATCATCTTCATTCAAATATGATCAATCTTATATTCATTAAATTTCAAATTACATTATTTTTTTTTCGAGAGTATCATTTCGGAATACGGCCATCAACAATCTAAAGGAAATAGTGATGCTATTTATTGAGACGGCGGCGAATGACTTGTTTACCCGATTTTTTAAACTGTTGTGTATTGATCCATGATTCGCATGAGAGGCTTTGTGCCGCCCTCTGAAATAGCATCTGTGACTATTTTCGGTCAATGGAAGAATCGAAAATGTCAATCAGTTCAAATCTCACATCTCGTAAAATTTCTATATGAGGGCACTTCTTTAGTACGGTTATGTTAGAAATTATTTAGAAATTATCTTTATGCAGCATAAGATATTTCAGTCACATCAGTTCCAATTTGTTTGCCTACAATGGATAAATGAATGGCCGCTTGCTAAATATTGAATATATTGGTTACTTTATAATAAGAATTTTAGAATTATGTGATATATATTGTGAAATATACTGTATTGAAATGAATAGATAATTTAAATAGGTAATTACAGACCAGATAACCACAATAATTTGCCTTGTGCTCGTTATTTATAATAATCACCACCTCCAAATGACATGTAAATGCATAAATTAAAAATTGACCTATTCATTGACGACTGATAAGCCCAATGTCGTACATCAACGACATCAGGTAATATGCGAATTAGGTCGGCAATGAGAAAACATGCATTATCTGACATGTGCAATCGAGCATCTTCTCTGATTTTGTTTCGCTATGGTGTTGACGGAAATGTCGGATGTCAGCTTGTGGAATGAATGGCTCTCGGCGGTGCAGAACGATGATTCCATGCTCTTGGTCAACGCTTCTCGCCGCAAGTGTCAGTAGCAGTCACGAATAAAAAATTACCTATTCTTTCTGAACTCCGAATTGTTATTATAATATACCCAATTGGTCGTCGCTTCCTTGGCTTATATCTAAATCTACGAGTTGTTTAACGACTTTATCTAGGCTGTCAATACAACTTCCGAATGAGTTATGGATTTGTATCATGCGTAGGTAGATGATAAGTATATTTCAATATCCTTTATCCTGTTATGTATGCAATCTGGGTCTAGAACATTGCTAGTTAAATATCACAATTCTCCGCACATCGAACACACATTACATAGAACCCTGGAATGCAATTTCAGCGCTATCACAAACAAAGTGAGCTCACACGAAAATATCAGGTCATACAAGAATTTGTTGGCTCTCCGTTAAATATATTAATAAAAGACATTAATAAAATAAAACGCAATAGATATGTATTCAGGCGCATCTATTAAAGGTAGCCATGTGAGTGTATAATAAATCATCTGACAAGGCAATATCGACCGCACACTCGTTAAAACGTCTCTTAGATACATATTTCTTAACTGGTCTTTGTTATTCTTTGGCAAATTACAATTTCCAATTCAGTAGTATTGTCAGCTACTTCTCAGGTATATAGTTTTGTCAGATAAGTTAAAATATAAATTGTAGAAGGACTGGACAGTACACAGATTGTGCATGGCCTGTTGTTTGTTGACAAGGGTGTACATGCATATGTCTGTAATTTCCAATTGGTGACCTATTTTTCTGGACAACCGTGCACATATTTTTGCAATTGAGACGTGGGCGCGTATATCCATAAACTTTTCATTTCACTATTTCTAAATCTCACAATATTTCAGTTTGACATTTACCTATAAATGCCCATGAATGCATGACTATTAATATTTTAGAATGTTTTTATTTTAAAAACGTGTCCCTGACGGGGAAACGCTTCATCTTATTCCAACAATGTGTAATTTTATTTCACACGTCGCTACTCAAATTTGTAATCAGACGCTGAAAACACGGTTTCACATGATTTGTGACGAACAATGCTAAGCTAATAACACGCATGTGGATTTCTAAACCCCACAGTTTGGTTTAATAAAAGATCTGAGACATGAGTGATCGATGTATCGATGAGATCGAAACGATGATGGCAGCTTTATAAAATACATGATACTGGTAGTATCAAAAAATCAACTCCAGGTTGTCATGAATAAAATGACCTGGTGTACACATAAAGCCATAAAACAGCATCGTATTCCTCACCTTCCTGCTCAATAGATTTCATTCCGTACTATAATATGTGCTTAATTTATATTTATTTATGCGCTATGGAAGACTACACGACTATTTTATTGTAGAATGTACCAATGTATCTTTTATATTTAAACATCAGTTGAACTAATATATATGTCCATCGTAACGGTTCGGCATAATTAACATTTACAGAATAAGTTGTGATTTCTGCATGCCACAGTAATATTATAGTCATTATACTTATACATGAGTAGCTTTTACAGTAAGTATTTCGACTCAATAGCGAATAAGCTACTGTACGCCACGTATATTGCACGTATCGTATTTGAAAGCAGGTCACGGAATCTGAAAGTGATGATAGGTTGAAACTAGGCAGCTAACAAATCAATTATATTTAATACACCTAGTAACATATATCACGCCTGGCAAGATTATAGATCTCAATTTACAACGTTGCAGTATGGGGGATATACTTTTTCATTAACAAACCCGGGAAAAGATCATTAATGGTGTCAATTGTCATGATATTGCCACACAGTGCATGGCTAATACGTTCTCCAAGGAGACATTAAGAGTAAAAAAGTGCTATCACATCTATTGATTCTCGCTATCCAGCATTAGGCCGGATAGAACAAAATACCTAATACAAACTTTGATGCATTATCGAATTGAACATTTTGCTCAATCCCTAGTTAATAGTATTATGTTTTAATAATAAAGCGAGATCTAATAATATTTTTTTGCCATGTATTGGTATAATAATTATCAAAAAGAATATTCAGTGTAACTATTTATTCGTCACACACATCTACTTTGCATTGGAACGCATAAAGTTAACTCGTGTCAGTAATTGTTTCAATTTAACCATGTCTAACTATAGGAAGAAATCACCACTTAGCAATTAAACACGCACATAAACCACATGCTATTCCTCGTCAGACAAACAGATTACCTTACGTAGTATAGACAACCACACTTTTTCGAATATGAGTGTTACACTACTGTGTTACACTACTGTGTTCCACACACTAAACGAGCATTTTTATATTTACCATGATATACGCGTCGCATTATATCAATGAGTCATATGCAGTATGTATGCTTATA